TGTTTATTGTGATCGATTTTGTAAAGCTAACATAAACTATTTGTTGTTTCTTACCAACTTTTTCTCTTCCCTATAATTTTCTACTTCTTTTAAAAACAGTACTAGAAGCCGCACTGTCCCTCTCATGGATAGCCAGCAACACCACACCGGAGCTCCACCCACCTGCAACAGCCCCATGGGCGAATAACTACGTAAATTACATAGAGCTAACCAAAAATCTTACCTTAGTATATTTTCAGGAATAAGAAGACAACGGAAACTACCACAGGTCACCCGACGTTCCGAAGCAGATAGCCGAGGGTATTGCACCTAAGGGGACTAGCACTTGGGAATTTCATCACCCCCATGCCACCCCACCACACACCACATGTATTTTAACAAATGCCTTTCACTTTTATTTCAGACCAAGGGACCTCAACCCACCAGGAGTGGAACCCATTTCTCTCATTCTCCCGACCTAACTATCACATCCCCTGGCACATTCGAGCAAATTAGATCTCTCATTTGCAGCCTATCTTACTTCCACTACTTCTCCACACCCCGTGAAAAAAAAAAAAAAACGGGCTGATCACATCAGCAGATTGTGACGGCCCTGGTTGTCCTGAAAAGAAGCATTGTTTGAGACGTTGTGACCCGGTGTTTGGCTTTTCCCGGCGGCTTTACAGAACGGCAACCAAGCAGCAACAGGACACCAGCACAGCGATCAACACGAGGCGAACCAAGCACCAGCAACAATCAGCTAAAACCCATAGATATCATCACTAAGAGAACTGGACCAAACCAGACCCAAAACCACATGCACCACACCGCAGCAAGGAAGCAAAGAACCGATATGTCAGGTGTGACTACACACCACAAATAAAAGGAAATCAAATAAGACAGCCAAGGAACCTTCCTTCATATAGCAGGCGGCTGAAAAAGGATCAAATTTGGAATTTTTGTTGGACAACTGGAATTGGAATTGGATTCTCGTCTCTGTTGTCTGCACTCTCTTTTAATAAAATGTACTAGCAGTTGCGATGCAAATAATAACCGGTGATTCGAGAAGATTAAATTTTGTTGTTGCTTCTCACTCTCCATTGCTGTATCTTTTATGTCTCTATAGACGCGCTATAAGACTGTTATCCAAAGTATCTAACGATCCATTCAATAGTGGTGCAGCTGCTAGACGCTTGTCTCAGAGTCCGAAGGTCAGGAGTTCAAGTCCTGACTGAGACAACTTTCTTCAGAAAAATCCTTGGCTCCCAGTCAAATCGTAAATTGCTTAGACTACAACTTGGATGGTCTTGCTTTACAATGAAAGACTTGACCTGTAATGTAAGTCAGAAATACAATGCTAAGCACTAACGGAGATTGGGAAATATGAAAACCAAAAGAAACCATTAACTACGTGAACTTCTGTAAATTAACTGTGACGATGGAAAACTTGCTGCATACAAACACTCCAGAGAGCGGCGTGGCAAGGTCAAACAATTTATTACTAGGACTAAAATCCATATATAGAGCGCCATGACATCTTTGAAGAAGTTTCCCCTAAAGATAAAATCGATTGCATACTAAGGAAAAATATATTCGCCATGTTAATGACACAATGTTTGTAAGATTGCTTCTCTTTGAGTCCTAGGGGATTTAGCATCACAGGCCCAGGGGATAGTAAAGAAAGTAATAAATCGGCGCATCATGCGTTCATTGGGCTTCTAGGTAGGAACCTACGAAAGTATGATGCATTTCTTGGGACTCAAAGAGTTAATTATTGATAGTACACTTTCTATCATAATCACATCCAAAATCAAAGCAAAATGTGAAACAATACAAATTACATTTTAGTCATATAAATAATTGCAAGATATTTTTAAAAAAAATGTTATCTGAGAACTGGATTAACACTATATATCCCATAAGCCCTAAGGGTTGAACATGATATTTTTGATAACAAATTTACCACTGCTACTTGGTTTCCAGGTCGACCTTTCCTTAAATGGTTACCAGCTTAAGTCCCGAGAAGTAAAGACAGCGGTTGTGATGTTGACCAGATCACCCACCAAGTGCCAATTGGTTAAAATATAGGTCTAGCTCCATTTGCACATTACACCTGAAGGCGTTGAAAAATGTCCTTTGCTTTACTTAATATATATAGCTTACCACACTCTTGGATTACCATTACAGTTGCAATAGTTAGAACTTCCTGAGTCAGAGTCGTGAAAACAGCGTCACCGATTATGCCTGTGAGATATCGAACACACTCTAACAACGTGAAAGAAACGTGTACTCAGTATCGACATTTTCACATGTCGTTTACAGTTGGCATCGATTAAAACAAATGTTTTGAATCTCTCGTCTGCAGTTGAGAGGTGAGTATCAGAGGATGGTTCCAGTCAGTCGTTACCGTTTCGTTCACTGTTATAATTAATATGAAACAAAAAAGTATGAGGTTCACACCTGTTAGTTTAATGATGTAGTATTATGGGTATCTTCGTTGTGTAGGAGGTAAGAGCGACACAGTAAGGTGAACCGTGAAAATATGTCCAACTCCTCTCTTGTTCAACGTGGCCCGAAATTACATAAATAAGTCATACTATTTATTAGTGTAGTAGTAGTACTTAAAGTACTTGAACTTGTCATCTGATAATTGATAATTTAGATTTGCATTCAGCTATTCTAATACAATGTTTGTCGTGCATCACAGAGCGCTTTTCCGTCTGCGGTGGTGTTTACGAATCAGTATACGAATAAAGTTTAATTACTCGACGAAGTCAGTTTAGTCAGGTAAATTCAAGTGCACTGATAACGATAACCTCCCTGACAGTAGTCAGTGTGAGTGATACTAGCTAGAATAAGTTAGCAAATTTTCATTTTTTGATATTGATTAAGATCTTCATTGTTGTATCGTCAGTGTCGTCGTCCAGTTCCAGCTGCTCACTAAAAGTCCACCATCACCTGTCCTGTATCTTTGTGAGTGTCATCATGCATTCACACAGGCTTCTTCCATCCCAATCCACGCCGTGCTTAGCGACGTAGGAGATACTCTCGGCGGTGGTGGTATAGTCCCCAGAACTCTGCAATTCAGCGGTGGCGGTATAGTCCCTGGAAGTCCGCAATTGACATGTGACTGAGGCCCTATTAGGGTATATTTTAGGCCTCGATAATTTGGGACTTTTATTCGGAGGATAGTAGTCTTTTTCTTCAGCATATTGAATGATATTGGTATTGTTAATTTTCTTCTTATACTACCTTATAGTCCAGAAAATGTGACATCGACAGCCTTCTGTCTCATAATTGCCAACACATATGTTGTTAAGTATCTTGTCTCTTTGTCTCCCTTCAGCTTTCCCATTGCTATATACTCTAACCCCCCCCCCCCCCGACATGCTGTACCACCCCGTTTTCCAGACACTCTACCTGTAACTACGTTTCAAAAGTTTTTATGGATTCTTTTCGTTAATATTACCCTATTTAGGGTATGAAATTAACACTGACTGACACTAACCCTAACCTTAATCCCACCCTCCCCCATAATATTATACATTCTGGAAACTCCTCATTAAGTCTCTGTCTCTGAGATGGGGTGAAATAAAATAACAGACCCGTTTAATGTTACCTTCATATTTTTCATTTTTTATCCATCCATGTTCTTGCACATGCAATAGTTATAGAGTCAATGTAACACTTGATTACTCAGTTTAAATTTGTTGCCTAGATGTGAGCATTAGTTGACTGCTGCTTTGAATGTTTTAATCTCTTGTCTTATTTCTATATAATAACAGTCATAATCTGTGAAAAAGACCTCAGGCTAGCTGGATTTTTTTATGGTTATATATCCTGTATATATTTAACAGAAAATGACTGCCTGTACCCTTCTAAGATATTCTTAGAATTTTAATTCCACAAAATAAAATATGCTTTAGAATTTGAATTCAGCTAAATAAAATAATGGGTGCTGTTCACATTTTCAGGCCCAGTATTAGAGTAGCTCCCCTTGCCATTCATACCTCCTCAAGTTGCTGGACCTCTCATATATCGCAGGGGAATCATGTTTTCTTTATTGTAAAGGATGTAACTGTTGCCTCTTTTCTTGTCCGCTCACCGCTCGCTTGCGTGATTATTTTCAGGTTCTGCTACCTGCGCGACGGTTTGGGAGTTTAGAAACAGAGATATTTTTCTGTTTCTATACTCCTTGCAAAAGCTTTCTTTCTCTCTGGGCTGTACAGAAATCTGAAGGAACCAGATTATTGATGGCCAGATTTGTGAATGCCAACCTTTTTGCATACATCTTTGCATAACTTGTATTCTCAAACACTGATATTGTTTGTATAGATTGTTTTGTCACTCTGGCATCTAATGTCTGTAGAAGTCGAATGTATTGGCTGAAAAGTGCAAATATCGCAGCCATGTTGTAAATGGGCACAACACATTTACATCTTTGGATGAACACAGAAGTAAGTAAAGTAAAGTAAAGATCCCTTTCACGCCTTTAAGCGTATCGGGCATAGGGGAAGAGCGCCCATATTTTTACAGACCATCAGCACTCGGTGGGTAATGTGGTCAGCATTACGCCGGCTGTCTTTACTTTCCCAGGACAGCCCATCCTGGTACCCATTTGAGGCTGGGTCGACCTGCGACGTCCCATACCACGATAAAAATCCACGCAGCCCGCAGTGGGTTTTGATCGCAGTACGTTGGATTACGAGTCGGACTCGCAACGCCTTAGCCACGGACGCCGCGAACACAGAAGTACTACTATACAAACAATCGTGTGCTGTCTGTACATTGAAGGTTGGCTACAGTGTCTTTAGGAATATTGTGTGCTAAGAATGGTTTTAACAAAATAAACCACATGCTGTGGAAATCAGACATTGATTTATCAGAGATATTGTACTATAATTGTGCGTTTTTTCCTCCGCAGCTGCTTTCATTGGAAGATTTTAACCCTTGGTGTTTGAACTAAATTTATGGAAGGACCATAATTGTTTTAACGGTAAATACACTGGGCTGCGGTGAATATGGCTGAGGCTAGAAGAACAAACATTGTGCAAGGTAAGGAGGGATAGACAGTTTGTCTTGATTATTTTTATGTTATTGTTTGTAATCCATTTACATTGGGCTGTTCATTTTGGTACCCCTTATGAAATCAGTTCTGAGCTGATAAGTAACACTACCAATGTGGAGTGGTGTGCAGTATGTGGGTACTGATAATTTTATCACTCTTATCTCATGGGCAGTATTGACTCTCTTCTTGCAAGCATGCTGCATGCAACATTTATATCTCTTGTTAGGTGTTAGATTTTATCACAGCAGACCAAAATGCTGAAAATTAATGTGTATATGGAACACCTGTTCATCTCTGCATCAAGGCCCAAAAATGAAGCATTAGAAAGGAGTGCAGTCAGGAACTCACAGCTTAAGAGCTTATGACTGTTTCAGCAAACTGGAGCTGACCTTACTACATCCTCATATGGTAATTCTGAAAAAAAAACTGCAGTCTGGTATAAAGAATGATGATTGAAGAGAAGAGGCAAGCCTAGTGAAAGATAGCTTTGTTCTGAAGTTGGATATATGAGACCAGTGGTACAGATACCATGTCACCACCTTATAAATGGCACATTTTCAACATCCCTGTCGTGATGGTCAGGGAAGAATGAGAATTTTTGAACTGTTTGACAAATGAGTGTTTATCAGAACAGCAAGTGCTTTAAAGTGAAGGAATGGTTTCCACATTTTGAGGCATTTTAGGGATATGGTTCTGGCCCCACATTTTTATAGACAAATCAGCACTACCTAAATGATGGGGCTAATTTTTTCTTCTTATTGTTCACGCTGTGTGGCATTGGTAGTCATGTCTATCCACAACCTTCTCTCTCGTGTACTTTCAGTCAACTCTGACGCAGATCACCTTCCTTGCAATGATGTCAAACTATTCAGCATTCTTCTCTTTCAGTCTCCCTCTGCCTCTTTTCCCCTCCAGATCTTCAACTGTCATAATATACGCCAGTTTTCTCCTTCTCATGGTGTGACCAAAGAAGGTAGATATGTCTTCTTCAGATGTGAGTTTGTGTGTGAATTTTATTCAAGGCATCTTCATAAATGATTTAATCCTGTCAATGGTGTTCTCATCATTTGTCTGTAAAACCGCACATTCGCCACTTCCACACAATTGTTTCGCTAATCTGCTAACTGACCATAATTTACTTCGGTGTACCAGGATTGAATTTATACAGCTCTTAAGAAGTCTTCTGACCCCCTCTGACAAAGAAAGGTTGCATTATAGAAAATTCTTCATTTTTGAAATGCTGCCTTTGCTTGAACCATTTTACATTTAACTTCTTTAATACATTTTCCACTTTCTGATATCAGGGTACCTAAGTACTTGAATATATCAACTTGCTTGCCCCATTCACTGGTAGAATATTTACTTTTAAATGCCAATATTTCAGTTTTTCTGTTGTTTATACCACACTGCCATATTTACTTCCCAAATTATTTCCTGGTATCCTTTTTTTAGTTTGGGTTGATCGGTTCAGTTTAATAATTGAGCTTCTTCTTCATGTCCACCGGCTGTAAACTCTAGAAGAAAGTTCTAGGCTTGTTTCAGAACGTGTGTTGTGTGCACATCCATTTAACAAATCTGAATTATTTATATGCACTCTGTTGGTTCCTTGCCTCTCAGGCACTCCGACTTTGAAGAAAGGACCCCAGTTAGTCAACTCTTATGACTTGCTTGTTAGGGAGGAAGTGGTCAGTCTATTATTGGGTTCTCCAGTATGGGGGTCTAGGAATCCACTCAGGGAAAATGTAGACTTAAATCTATGATTACTGAGCTAGCAGATATGCAAGCCATTGCTGTTGTGGCTGTCAGAATATTGGGTAAATAGATTGCTTGATTCTAAAAATATCACATCTTATTTATCCCCATGTGGGGTCCAGGGCTCCATTGTGGAAAAAAATAATAGACCTACAGCATAAGAGTTGACTAATTATGGATGCTTCCTTCAGAATCGGAGTGCATCTGGCTGAGAGTAAGGAACCAGCAGTGTGCTTAAAATTAAGCCAGATATGCAAAACGGATGTACATGCACAACTCAGGTAATGATAAAGGTCCAGAAATGGATGAAAAACCAGAACTTTTGCTTTTTATAGCCAGTGAATGCCAAGAAAAGGACATCCTGTTTGAGGATACCTTGATGAAATATTTAATACATATCTCCATCAATAAATTGTCTAGGTAAACTTGCAGAAGGCGAAGATCGGGAAGAGCAGGAGAATGAACTGTTTGCCTTGCAGGCCATATTTGAAAATGAAGATCTTGAAATCTGCAAGCATGACAATCCTCATGGTCATACGCCAGGTAAGCATGAACTCTTTCAGTCTCAAGCAGTGCATGATATATGATTGGGTCTCTCCATCACTTAATGTCTACATTTGGCTAGAGCGTACTAAAGAAAATCTGGCTTCCCAGAAGCCAATTTTACTGTGTTAAAAAGTTAGTTGTGTATCCTTTACAGGACGTTGCAGAACCAACCCCAGCATTTTTTGGCTTTTGTGGTTTTTTTCTAGGCAATTGTAAATCCAATATTTGTCATTACTTTCTCAGCAGTCAGCTCTTGGTACCACTGTCAAAACCAACATAAGACAAATGGTCCACAGCTGGGATTGAACCCAGCAGCCAGGCATTATGAAGCTCATTCGCAACACCTGAGTCACAGAGGCCAACCATCTGACTAGAAAGCACCTGGAGGTAGAGGTTTCCTGAAATAGGATGTGTTGGGCCAGACAAGAAGGCGGATATTGCAGCTTAGCTGTAAATCTCCTCACAAATGTGTCAACCACCATTCTAAGGATGAGAAGTTTCACAGGAAACGACTGAAAATCTTATTCTTTGTGATACTGCAGGGATTTATTGTTATTTTGTTGATACCTGGATGTTTTGAATACCATTTAAAGATCTTTTGGTTTATAAAAAAAAATAAAAATAAACCATTGTCTTAACTTTGAAGTTGAAGTATGTTTTCATTTCCCTTAATTAAATGTTCATTTTTCTTTACATACACAAGTATGTTTCGATATTCTAACCAAAAGTGTACGTATATGTGTTTTGTGCAGGTGGCATTTTCAACATCCCAATCTTTACACCTGAAAACTTCTATGTGAAACTGACAAAAGACCTTTGGAAGATCAAGAAATTAGCCTTTGGTAAGTTGTACCAGGACCAACAAAAACAGTTTCTGGTCATCATTGATTAGGTTATCATATTTTTAAAATGTTGATATTTCAGTGATTGCTTTCTGAATACGAGTAGATTTTTGTGTGCTACTATTTTGTGGGCTCGAGAGTTAGATTATGAAGTAAATTTACACCAGCCTCGAGGACTAGTTAACAGTTGCTAAGCAGGCCAGTTTTGGCCATGGCTATAGTTTACACAACCTTGCTGCAGACTAAAACGAGCATTGTTTGTTTTAAACATCTTTATTCCATATCTTTCAGGACCGAATGATGTTTGAATTAATTGTGGCATTTGTAGTCATGGCTATCCTCTGCCTTCTGTTATGTCTAATTTTTTATGTCAGTCTGATGTACATGTTTCTCCATTGCCTTGATGCCAAACTGTGCAGTGTCTCTTTTCACCTTCCACTTTCCATTTCTCATATCATGACATAGTTCAATTTTCCTCTTCTCATGATGTGAGCAAAGAATCTTGATTGTTTCCTTCCGATCTGGATAATCAAGTCTCTTCTTGTGTTAATATCTTTCAAGACATCTTTTTTACACTTTGTATGTAGCCGTGGTGTTCTCATATTTTGTTTATAAAACCACAACTCTGCAACTGCCACATAAGTTTCATTTCTGCTGATTATTTTCTGATTAATTGGACATAATACAGGTCGACCACACAAACGACGGAGAGAGAGAATATCTTAGGCCCGAAATACTACGTAGCACATCCCAAGGATCTCACCAGATATCTCTTCAAAACCTGACGCTGAAAGGCAATACAGGACTAGAGAAGAAGAAGAGCCTTTTCATTTTGTGTGCTTCGCTTCTGTACATCAGGATTGGTTCTATATGGCTGTTAAGAACTCTTTTTTTTTCCACCCCACTTGGCCAAGGTAGATTGCAGTAATTCTGTGAAATGCTTGAACTGTTCCGCATTTGTGCATGGTTCAGTTACAAGAATTATTTGCGTGACATATTCCTTATATTTCAGCTTCAGTTACTGGGAGAGGCAGAAGTGAAAAAATCTTACAGAAAGTTGCAGAGAAACAGTCGAAGAAGCAGACTGGAGCAGCAGCAGCAGTGGCACAAGAGAAGTTGTTTTTGGTGAAGAGATTGCCTCCCATTACTCTGACCTTTGCCTACCCTCATGATTACCCATCAACTAATCCACCAGAGTTTACTTTGTCTTGTTGCTGGCTGGAGAAGAAACATGTAAGCAGTTCACTTATCCACATTGTACATATTATTAGAAGTTTTGTATCAGATAATCCCCCTGCCTCTCCAACAAACCTGTCATAGGAGTCGACTAATTTGGGGCATCCTTCCAAGTTGGAGCACATTCACCTGAGAGGCAAGTCTGTTAACAAATAATCTGGATGTATGAAATGGATGTGCCTGTAAAAACTTACGTTCTGAAACAAGGCTAGAGTCTGGAGGTGGGCAAACACCTAGAACTTTTCACTGAGTTAATAACTGGTGAACGCAGAGAAGAAGAAGTTGAAACACATAAAATATTTACAAGGGTACATTAGCCAATTATATGTAGACTTTGAACTATTCTTCTTCTTCAGCATTCAGTTGTAAGGTCGACCTGCATATTGTCTCTGCACTGTCACTGACCTATACTCTCTTATAAAAGTTATCCACATTGTACAAGTTATCTGAGCTATGGTATCAAATAAAATATGGTCCTATTTACGTTTTCCGCCCCAGAAAGAGAATGACTTCCCTTGCCATTCATGATTCTCTGTGTCGCAGGGCTTGTCCTTTGTTGCAGTGGTGTCGCGCTTTGCCACTGGCCAGCGAAAGGGTTCCAAAACATGAAGAACTGGCCCTAACCCTACACACCCTACGTCCTACAAGAGTGCAGCTTGTGTCCCACGACTGTATGCAGTGTATATTATAGGCTGCGTGCAGTCGTGGGACATTAGGGATGTATTTCGCTGACTGGTGGCAAAGTGTGGCACCCCCGCAACAAAGGAAAAGCCATGCGACACAGCGATTTATGAATGGCAAGGGAGGTCCTCTCTTTCTGGGGCGGAAAACATAAATAGAACCTAAAATATTTTCAAGTATACATTAGCCATTGTATCCAGACGTTGAATTCTGTTTTTATTTTCAGCATTCAGAGCCTTTGGTGACTCCAACAATTTTTAGGTCTGCCAGTATATTATCTCCCCACATCCACCTGTGGGTTCTAGGGCTCTATTGTTGAGAAAACAAAAATGGACCCACTGCCTCCCTAACCAGCATACAAATAAGCAAGATATGTAAAACGGATGCACACACAAAACTCAGGTCCTGGAACAAATCAGAAGTCCAGAAATGGATAAACCACCAGGTCTTTCCACAGGCATTGACAGCCAGGGAACACTAACAACAAACACAGCCTAGCTGTAAACCACAGCACAATATGCCAACCACCTCTTCGAAGGTGAGCGCAGAAGAAGAAGATGCTGAAAAACACAAATGATTTCGCCAGTGAAATGTGTAGTTTAAATGAGCACCTATTTTTATTTCAGTTGAGTCGGTTGTGTGAAAAACTGGATGAGCTGTGGTCCCAGCATGCAGGAACACCTGTGATATCAGTCTGGCATGATTTCATTTACAACAGTGTTGTCAGTTTTTTAGGTAAGTAGTTTCTGCAGTTTCAGGTGGAATTAGTGGTCGAGGCTCAGTTCTAAGGCGGAGTAAAACAAATAATTTATCTACAGTTTGATAAACAAATTAATGTTTTGACTGGCACTTATAGCTAGAAGTAGAGGCAAGAGGGTGTACAAGAAGAAATAAAAATGGAAAAAATTGAGCCCATACCAGTACTCGAACCTGTTACCTCTAAATGATGATGGTGCTAAGAGTATTTTGACTAATGACCAACTCCTCACTCCTAAAAAGCTGTTGCCATAGACCAAGTCTATCATACATCTGGAAAAAGAAATATGGCCAGGGACTTTCCCACAACAGTACAGCCATGAAGTAACTGTGGCCAGATTTTTAGCCCTTTAGGGGCAAAAGCATGAATGCGACAGGTTGTCTAGTAAAAGAACTTCACACAATTTCTAAATTTCTGGTAGGGAAACATTAAAGTTATGCAGCAAAATATGCCGGGCAGTAGATTGCACAATCTACTGTTTGTGTATTTTGTCTTTACATTTAGAACCTCCCATTGTAGAGTGAAAAAACAAAAACATGGCTTCCATTATTTGCAGATGTAATTCTACTACTAATTGAGGGATTCCTTTACAGTTGGAATGCATCTGCCTAAGAGACAAGGAGGTAGGTTGGTAGTTGTTCCCCACCAGGACATCACTCAAGCGATAAACACCAAGTGACACAACGCCACCATGCAGATGAGGATCACCCGCAGAGAGGTCCCAGAAACCCTTTTCAGCCGTTAGGCCATATCTATGCCCCGGCTTTTTTCAGGGCACCCCGGCAAAAGCCAGGGTGGGGCTTCAAACACAAAATTGCATCCTACACGGGGACGACTTATATAAGAGGCAAGGAACCAGCAGTCATGCAAACAAGTAAGCCAGATCTGTGCATACAAAACTCAAGTTCTGGAATAAGACTACAGTCCAGAGTTAGGCGAACAACCAGAACTTTCCACCACAGTTTACAACCAGTGAACAAGAAGAAGAAATATACAATGCAGAAATATTGCTTTGAATTTATAATCTGAATGTATGCATGCCAAGTGAAAAAATAAATTAAGTGTTTACATCAATTTTTTCTGGCAGGAATTAAGTCCCCATATGATTTGGGCAGAGTCTATGTTCACATATTTACTCATCCACCACATCGCCAGAACAAAATGTTACTGAAACCACGGCCATTTGACGAGCGAGGGATACAGAATTTTGCAAACCTTGATGAAGTACTTGCAAAGGTGAGTACAGATAGCTTAATTAGTTGTGAATATTTATGCTTCTTATTTTTATTCCATTAGATTATTCGAGCTGTCCTGTTTCTTATGCTTACAATTTTACTTACATATGGACTCTGGGGTCCCATTGTTTCGGGGGAAAAAAAAGAATACACCAACTGCCCCACCTAACAAGCATGTCATTAAAAAGTGACTAATTGGTGTTTCTCCTTCAAAGTCGGAGAGATGAGAACCAAGCAGACAAGCCAGATTTGTGAAACGGAAATGCATGTAAAACTCTGGTTCTGAAACAAGTCCAAAGTCCAGAAGTGGATGAAAAAACATTTAGGCCAGAGTTTACAGCCAGTGATCCTGAAGAAAAAAAAGATACATACAGTTTAGAGGCAATTTAATTTTGGCTGTCATATCTTTGGCACTATACCAGAGTCACTTAAATACTAGATCTTTATTTTGAGGAAATCACGTTTGAACATTGAATTGCATTTAAATGAATACTTATTTTGATTTATTTGGAGGAGGAATTCGCATGCATGACTAGAATATTCTAAAGTGACAAAAAGCAACCCTGAAATCACTTGAAATAGCCACAGTTACACTTAATTGACCTTGGCCTAGTGTCGACGACATGGCTGGGGCTGTATGTAGCCAGCTATGAGACAACTCTCAGGATCATGTGGCACTGAATTTTTTAAATTATCAAAGTGCCAGCTGACGTTTCATGTACAGCCTTAGTTCTGCATATCCCCCCTCCACACATACACACACACATCTCTTTTCTCTCTTCCTTCCCCTCCTTACACTTATTATCGAAATGAACACACATTGGAAAGTCTGTACCAACAAAAAGCAAGAGCGCCTAACTGGTTTGTCCAGTTATCTTGCTGAAAACTTTGTTGATCATTTCTATCCTTTTGATCCATGTTTGATGGCATTATATATAAGTTTGATGGCATTATATATAAGTTTGATGGCATTATATATAAGTTTGATGGCATTATATATAAGTTTGATGGCATTATATATAAGTTTGATGGCATTATATATAAGTTTGATGGCATTATATATAAGTTTGATGGCATTATATATAAGATTGATGGATGAAAAGTAAAGGATCCTTTTCCACCCTCTCAGGCGTATTGAGAATATAGAGCTAGACCTAAATTTTTTATAGACCAGTCGGCACTTTGTGGGTGATGGGGTCAGCATCACGCTGGCTACCTTTACTTCCCAGGACTGCATCTGGTACCCACTCAAGGCTGAGTTGACCTAAGAGTCAAGGACATTTTTGAAAAAAAGTTAGGCTCTGTCAGGGCGCAAACCCATGATCATCTGATCCGCAGGCCGACATCTAGCCACCAACGTCACAGCGACTCCCTTAATGCATGATGAAGAAACATATAAATGTGCACTCGGATTGCCGGATACTCCATTTTCTTCTGGTTTTTTATGTGTGGCCCAACTTTTGATCTTTTGGGAGTTTTATATGTTGATTATGTATATTGCATAGCCTATTAATAGTGAACAATTTCGTTATAAACAGCAGTGAGTCTTCACTCCATTTTAAAAATTTTATTTACAAACTCTGTGCACATACGTTGTTGTCCTGATTGGCTGAATTTCTGTGCAGGTGCTTGACTTTAACATTGTCACCTGTGACATCTGCTTCGAAGAGAAGCCAGGCGATCAGTTTCTGAGACTTATCAGCTGTGATATCCACCAGCAGTGCAAGTCATGCATGAAGGGCTGGGTGGAATCCCAGATCAAAGAAGGTGCAGTCAATGAAATGAAGTGCCCTGGGTACAAATGTGATAAGGACCTGTTGCCTACCGAGGTAAGATCTTGGAGTCGATTTAGCACTGTTGTGGCATTAATGAATGAACAAAGAAGACACAAACACTAGATTGCACAATTTATTGCCTGGCATATTTTGCTGTATTTCTGATGCATAATACAGTAACAGTTAAACAATTAAAGCAAGAAAGTGAATCCTTTAAAACCAAAGTGCAAATTCAACAAGCAAACGCAACTGCCTGTTTTACCAGGGCAGTTGCAGTGTCACAATCATTTCTTTTTGTTTACAAAGTTCAGGATAGAGGTAACAAATTGCGGTGGCTTCAAGAAATCTTAGCGATCTGACATTAGCTGATGTGTTTTTGTTTTCTTTGTTCAGATTGACAACAGAGAAACATTGCTTTGAATAATGAATGAGTTGTATTGTTTTTGGAAAGTCATCTTCTGTTGCCGGTCTGTAAGACAGAATGTGGTATGCACCAACTGTTTCATCATTAATCAGCAAGTCCTTTGCAGAATGTTGCTCTCTTCACGGCACGCCTGAAAGTGTCTCTTTTCATAGCCAGCTCCCCAGTCCCATGAGCTTTCAGTGGCAGTGCGTCTTCAATGTCCTGTATCCGTCTTTGTTTTCCACAAACTGCACCGTCTTTTCCAGGCCACCATATTTGATGTGGCCAAAATACTTCAACTGTTTTAGTAAGTTGCAATGGTGTAGTGCCTAGATGCTAACCTGGGGATTGGAAGGTCAAGGGTTCCGATTTGCATGGAGCAGGATTTTTTCTGATATTATCTTGGCTCCGTAGTCGACCCAGCCTTGAATGGGTAACAGGTAAAGCTATGGGAAGTAAAAGTCGCCAGTGTGTTTTTGACCATATAACTCTACCAGAGCCGATTGGTCTACAAAATTATGAAAAATGGTTGAGCGAGCAACCTGAATATCTCTTCACAAGACTTAATCTGTCATTTTCCCATACGGTGGGGTACAAGTTTTAATCTTCTACTTCTTCTGCCTTTCTAACGCCCAACGGAGCATAGGCCCTCAACCAACTCATGCCATGTTATCGCATGCAGCTCTCCCCATCTTTTTAACTTCACTATCTAGCTCCCTTCTCCATGTGTTTTTTGGTCTGCCTTTATTCCTATGCCTTTGTGGGTTCCGATGCCCTAAGTAAAAGGAGGTACATCAACGATCCGCACTATCGTCGGCTTTCTCCACACCATGTCATACGTCTTCTACTCGAAAAGCCTCCCTTTATCTTGGTTGGCTTGGTTTTTCTTCTTTCTCTTTTTGACTTTTCCATGGTTGGTTGGTTTTTGTGGCATTGTTTTTTACAGGATGAGGTAGCTAACCCCAAGCCCAACCCTACCCTTAGTCGAGTCTTACAACATGCCTGGTAGGGTGCAGTTTTACTATTCTTTGCTTCCTGTGAGGCCCGTGGTGACACACAGGCGGCGAGTTATAATGCTTGTGGCTTTTTATTACCTCATGTGCATGGTTGCTTTGTTATTGTTGCTTGGTTCAATTCTGCCACAGAATTAATATGTGGCATATATGTTTATAATTAGGCCATTAAGTTAGGTGTCATTTAATCATGTCTTGTAATAGGAGTGTTTGAGTGACATTTTCTGCCAAGGTTTCATATGATCATGTCTTGTAATAGGAGTGTTTGAGTAAAGTTTTCTGCCAAGGTTTCATATGATCATGTCTTGTAATAGGAGTGTTTGAGTGAAGTTTTCTGCCAAGGTTTCATATGATCATGTCTTGTAATAGGAGTGTTTGAGTGAAGTTTTCTGCCAAGGTTTCATATGATCATGTCTTGTAATAGGAGTGTTTGAGTGAAGTTTTCTGCCAAGGTTTCATATGATCATGTCTTGTAAAAGGAGTGTTTGAGTGAAATTTTCTGCCAAGGTTTCATATGATCATGTCTTGTAATAGGAGTGTTTGAGTGAAATTTTCTGCCAAGGTTTCATATGATCATGTCTTGTAATAGGAGTGTTTGAGTGAAATTTTCTGCCAAGGTTTCATATGATCATGTCTTGTAATAGGAGTGTTTGAGTGAAATTTTCTGCCAAGGTTTCATATGATCATGTCTTGTAATAGGAGTGTTTGATTGAAATTTTCTGCCAAGGTTTCATATGATCATGTCTTGTAATAGGAGTGTTTGAGTGAAATTTTCTGCCAAGGTTTCATATGATCATGTCTTGTAATAGGAGTGTTTGAGTGAAATTTTCTGCCAAGGTTTCATATGATCATATCTTGTAATATGAATTTTCACGTGAAACTTTCTCCCAGAAAGTTCTGTTGCGAGCTTTTTTGGAGTCAGTTAGATTTAATCCCCTACAATGGTTGCTTTGTTATTGTTGCTTGGTTCAATTCTGCCACAGAATTAATATGTGGCATATATGTTTATAATTAGGCCATTAAGTTAGGTGTCATTTAATCATGTCTTGTAATAGGAGTGTTTGAGTGACATTTTATGTTTGTAAAGGTAGGGGATATGAAGATGCATATATTTGCTAGTTTTTCGTCAAAGTGCATCTGCCTTAGAGGCAAGGGATGAACATTCTGCACACAAATAAATCAGATATGTAAAACAGATATGCACACAACACAGGTCCTGGAACAAGACCAAGGTCCTGAAGAGGGTGAACAACCATGACTTTCAGTGGATGTAAAGAAAAAGAAACTAGAAGTTTTTTGTCTTTTGCTATTGTGCAGCTAGTTAACTTTTTAATTGTTATATCTTCAGACCATACACAATTTTTGCTTTAAACTTGTACAATCCATTTTGAATATAAATACTCAATGTAAAATTGCTGAGTAAATCATAAGCAGCCAAAATATACTGGACTTGGTTCTGCAACATCCTATTAAGCAACTGGTCTCAACCTGTTGGTCGCGACCCTTTTCAGGGTCGAACAACCCTTTCACAGGGGTCGCCTGAGACCATAGGAAAACACAAGTTCTGAAATAGGAACACAAATAATTTATAATTGGGGGGTCACCACAACACGAGAAACTGAATTATGGGGTCGCAACATTAGGAAGGTTGAGAACCACTGCTATAAGGGATGTGCAACTGACTTTTTGTTTTGTTTTTGTATATGAATTCTAGATTGCAAGTGTTGTTTCCAAAGAACTTTATGAAAGATATGACAGCCTTCTCTTGAAGACTGCTTTTGATGTCATGCCTGATGTCATGAACTGTCCCCGGTCATTTTGTGGATTTCCTGTAGTCCTAGAGGATAATCTGGGGTTATGCCAACAGTGTCATCATGCATTCTGTGGGAGATGTCAGAATACATACCATGGTCACTCACCGTGCAAGCTCAAGTCTGGTGAGTGATGTGATTGTGCTGTTTCATCATGTGAACTCTGCACACTACTGAATGTAAGTTTGCCTAGAGAAACTACAACGGCCAGAAAATGCCGGAGTTGGTGCTTTCTCTAATGTCCTGTAAAGGATATGCAGCTAACATTTGAACTCTTTAAAATTTTTCTCTTTGGGGTCACTAGAGTAGTAAGGAAAAAAATAATAATTTAAAATTAAAGCTACTAGAAGCTTACAAAAAGTGAAAGTTCCAGCCAAAGTATTTATATAAAAAAAAAAAAAAAAACTTTACTGTAAAAACATAAAAATAAAAACAAAGTGGTTTAATAATTGAATCCTCTTGATGGAAAAAAAGAGTAAGAAACAATGAAGGTCCAACAACGAGTACGAGGCCGACCTCTGTGAAGATGGATGTAGGACATTGAAGATGCATTGGCTGTAAAAGCACACAGTGTTGGAGAATCAGCTAGAGAAAGAGAGATTTTCAGGCATGCAGTCAAGAGAGCGAGGTTCTGTAAAGGACATGTTGATTGCCTGATTAGCATTATCTCTACTTTCCCATTTTATTCCCTCAAGAAGGGAAAGACTTATCCCTGGTAATACAAGACTTATCCCTGGTAATATAATACTTATCCCTGGTAATACAATACTTGTCTCTGGTAATACAATACTTGTCTCTGGTAATACAATACATGTCCCTGGTGATACAATACTTACTGGTAATGCAATAGATTCAAACAGATAGGTGCACAACCATCACCAGAGAATGTGTATTAATGTTTTAAATAATAATAAATAAAAGTATTTTACTCTTCGGTCATCTTCTTCTTTTTCAGCATTCCGAGCCCTTGAGGTTCATCTCTCTGATTGGCCTTCTCTTTCCAGTTGGTAACACCAAGTGTTTGCAGTTCTGTCTGAATATTATCTCTCCATCGTCTTCTTGGTCTCCCTCGTGGTCTACGACCATTCATTTCCCTGGTGTATACAGTTTTTAACTTCTCTGTCATCTGACATTCTTTCAATATGCCCCAACCATTTCAGTCTATTAGCTCTCATGGGGCCAGTGATCAGTGGTGATTTAAGCAGATTTTGAATTTCGTTGTTGCTTCTCACTTTCCATTCACCGCTGTTTGCATCTTTGATGGGTTCTTCGATCATACTTTAAAAAAAAAAAAAGGTCAGCGGTTGCACTGGATCTATTTCAGCACAGATGACAGAGTTGCACTTTTTGGCCAGCAGTCCAATGGTATCAAAGTCTTTTGTTGTTATTGCATTACACTGAATTGAACATATGGATAAAATTATATGAAAAGCTGTTTTATGTTTTCAGAAATGCTTGGGAAGTTGTGTGAGGAGTACGAGTCAGGTAATGCCACTCGAAGGTTGGAACTAGAAATGAGATACGGAAAACAAGTTATCCAGAGAGCCTTGGATGAAACCAAATCCAGTAAATGGCTGGAAACGAACAGTAAACAGTGTCCGAATTGCAGTACATTTATACAGGTAAGTGTTCAATTGCAATAGTTTTATCCACACCTTGTTTCCTTTCTTGGCAGTTTGTTTTGCGTTTAAAAAATTAAGTTTGACAATTGTGTTACCAGAATTTTTCATGTTACTGTTGCCAAGAAGTTGCATGCTATCATTTATCCACTTGTGACCTTTCAGCCCTTCTAACAGGATACTTTTATTATCCAACAGTACAACAAAGTAACAGAACTTTGGTGACAGAATACAACACTGTATTCACAAAATCACATTAATATTGAACAAACCTATGTGTTGCCCACAGTGAAGTTTGACATCAGAGTGAACTAACAGCAGTTGGGTGGAGGATATTAAAGGGTGATACTCCCAGATGCTTACACGTTAGATTTTTTTGTTCAAAGCAAAAAAAAAAAAAAAAAAAACCCATAAGAACAGTTAAAAAAAACCATACTGAGTAAACCAAAAGGGAACTGACTGAAAAGCTTAATGGAATGGAGAAGCTTTTCAGTCACAGTTCCTTTGATTAATCTTGTGGTATTAGCTTGACTGCAGTCACCTCTATTTTATTAACATTGAGTAAATCAAACCGTGGTACGACCCACAGCCAGCTCCAGATAAGGCCGTACAGCTCAATGGGAATTCCCGTTTTTGGGAGGCCTGCCAGTGCTCATCATTGTTACCTAGTAGATTTATACATAAATTAGACTAAAGCTTACTTAATTTGCAACATGTGCTATTGAATGAATTATCATTTTAAAGATAAATCAGTGGGTTATTAGAAAATAATAATAATAATAAAAATAATAGCCCACTTAATTGCAAAATAATTAAACTATTGTTTAATTTATTTATAAATCTACTCTGTAATATCAGTGAGCATCGGTCAGCCTCCCCAAAACTGGAATTTACGTTGAGCTGTACAGCCTTATCTGGAGCTGGCTGTGTATAACCCTATTGTGGGGGAAAACAAGAGTTGACCCACTGCCTTCGAAACAAGCATGTCATAAAAGTCGACTGATTGGGGGTGGGGGGGCTTCCTTCAAAGTTGCTTGAGACGCAAAGAACTAACAGTCTGCCTACAAATAAGTCTGCAAAATGGATGTGCATGTAACACTCAGGTTCTGGAACAAGCCCAATGTCCAGAACACTCAGAGCTTTCCGCCGGAGTTCACAGCAGGTGACAGCGAAGAAGAAGAGACCCCAGTACTTGAGGATAATGACATTAAATACATTAACGAACCTCAGAGCGCAGAACTGCACTAATGAAGAGATTATCTTATGTCTGAACCACCACAGCACGATAGATGTTGCTAGCGCGATATTTTTTATGCTTGTCTGATGCAAGTAAAAAAAAATGGTTAATATCTTAGCAATATAATTCACGGAGGATGGAAGGATAGATCAGGAATTAGAAACAAGATGTCAATGAGCCAATGCACTTATGTACCAACTAATGTCTTCTTTTAAGCCATACACCACGGGAGCAGAACCCTTGTAGATGTGGAGGATTATGGGCTTGAAAATCTCAAACATCTGTAAATGGGATTTGATATCAGGACCACAGGAATCCTCGGTTTCAGGGACATTGGGGGGGGGGGGGGGGGGGGGGGGGGGGGGGGGGGGGGGGGGGGGGGGGGCTAGACCCATTGCCTCCCTAATGGGCATGTCATAAAAGTAGACCAATTAGGGTTGTTTTCTTCAGAGTCAGTCTGCATCTTTCTGTGAGGCAAAGAACCAACAGTCTGCACACAAATAAGCCAGAGCTGTACACAAAACTCAATTTCTGGAACAAGATAAGTCCTGAAGTGTACGAACAACTGAACGACCAGCACTTTCTGCCAGAGTTGGTTCCCGGTGGACCCCACGAAGAAAAAGAAAAAGGAGCACAGGAAGATGGCACTAGACACATATTAATATGCAGCGTTTACACTGTGTTTCTTTCAATAATGCAACAATGTCTGTTGCTATCTTTTCTGTATTTTCTTGTATTTCTTCGCTTCTCCACTGTACTTTTCTTTATCTCTTGATGTTTTCTGTCATTTGGACTACATGAAACCGTTTATAAATGCACTGCAGAAAAACGATGGCTGCAACAAGATGACTTGTACCAACTGCCGAACCTTCTTCTGCTGGCTGTGTCAGCAGGAGTTGTCTAAATCTAATCCATATGCTCACTACCAACATCCAACATCGTTCTGTGCCAATCGCCTCTTTGAGGGTGTGCAACTGGTGGAAGATGATGATGACCTGTTTGAACTCCTCGACGACGAGTTTGACAGCGAGAGTGATGATGATGTTGATGTTGATCACTTGTAGCCTTTAATAGACTAGATATACATCCAGAGGTGGGTCTGCGTTTTCATCACCAGTCATCCGTGTACTACATTTATTCTGTGTGAACATTTGACTCATTTACCCACCCACTCTGGATTGCAGGTGCCCCATTATAACTGTTCTAACAGGGTTTCTGGGATTTCTGCCTGTTTGATTCTCATTCTTGAGGGGTTAATCCTACAGACCGCAATCCTGAAAAGAAAAAAAAAAGGGGGGGGGGGGGGTAAAAATTAGGCTCATTTTCAGGCATTTAAAAATGTGAACCATTTTCAGGCATTGTAACCTTCTACATACATTTCTTCATAATGCAGTATTCTTTTTTTTTTTAAATTCATATTTATGTAACTGGCTTTCATTTAAGAAAGCTGTAAAAAAGAAATCTTGAGATATGGGAATGAATCATGGATAGTTTGCCGGTTAGCAGAGAATTATGTGGAAGCTGCAGAGACATGGTTTTGTAGAAGAATGTTAGAAAAACCATGGACAGATTAACTCTTTTAGTCCCATAAGATCTCATTACAGATACCTAACAAGTACTTAGCCACAAGGAATAAAGCCTACATGCATTACTTTAACCAGGGCAGCATATAACTTAGAACAAACAATTTTTGGTCAAATGTTTATCAAATACAAATCAGATCACACTATGCGTTGTTTGAGACACATGTGCAGTAGCTGATCGCACATGATTCATTTGGTTGGGACTGTAATAAAGATTATTTGTAAGAAACACAAAGAGAACTGGACAGTCTATATTCTTTAGGCACGCTGGTTAGGACATAGAGTTTAAAGTATAGGGAAGATTCTTTGTAAGAAACTCATGAAGAGAACTGAAGACAGTCTACATCTTTTGGGCACAGCTTGAAAATAGGACTTGATTCCACCGTGATAATGGCAAAGTTGTAATGGAAGACATATCGAGGGAGACTAAGAGAGAAGATAATAGACAGCTTGGCATGGAAGAAATGTTTCTGTATCAAAACTGAATTATTCCTAACAGATGCAAGAGCGGCACTTCCGGCACTCCACTCTGGAAAATTACCTGGTATATAACATTTCTCTCCAAACTAGGCAATCAGTGTAAGGTAAACTATGCAGTGGATACTATCCCACTGTGGAGTTCCTGGAAATAAAAGAACTGATGAACTAGATAAGGAAGGTGCAAATGAAGAACAACTTGACATAATCTCTTATCAACAGAAGAAGAGAATAATCATATCAGTCAGAAAGATACCAAAACCGGTATACGACAATTACCATATTATGGACAAACCAGAGCAAGTTATTATTCTACAACTTTGAACAGGACACAATCAACTGTGCAGCCACAAGTACACAAAATTTAGAATCGGCAAATCAGCCATGTGCATACGTGGATTGGCACCTGAGACAACAGATCACATCTCCAAGACTCCCAAATACAACATATCAAAGCAAAACTTTTGGCACCTGAGACAACAGATCACATCTTCAAGACTGTCCTAAATACAACATATCAAAGCAAAAATTTTGGCCAAGAGAAACACCGGTGCAAGTCAAACTTTACCGGTTCTCTGGGGAATTACAAAAGACAGTTAAGTTCATACTAGAGACAAAATTGTAGATGTAGATAATCTATTTAAAGCGAATGGAAGAAAAAGAAGCAGAATTGAATTTACAGTACATAATTTTAAAAAAAGCCTGTCGCTAAAGATGTTTCACGGCATGGATTACAAAAATGATCATCATCATCATCATCTGTCGTTACCTAATTTTGTAGTTTTTTTTTAAAGTAAGGAGAACTTGAGAGACATTACTATCGTTTTAATTGTTTTATAATGCTTTAAACCTACTGTAGCGGTTTAGACAGCCCAGTTTAAAACAGTCATGGTCCCTGAAATAAGAGGCTTGGCTCTTGGGGGAAAAGGAATGGTTCTTGGGGGGAGGGAGGCATGGTTCTTGGGGGGAGGGAGGCATGGTTCTTGGGGGGAGGGGGGTGCATAGTTTTTGGAAAAAGAGGCAAGGTTCTTGGAAAAAAAGGGGGGCATTGTTCCTAGGAGTGAAAAGGCATAGTGTTGGGGGGAGGGGTATGGTTTTGTGGAAAGGGGGGGGGGGGGGGGTAGTGTTCTTAGAAGAACAGGCAAGGTTCTTGGAAAATGGAGCATTGTTCTTTGGGAAAAAAGGCAGTTTTGGGGGGAAAAAACATACATGGTTCTTGGGGGGTGGGGGGAGGAGCCATGGTTTCTTTGAAGAAAAGCATATATTACCTATCACAAAGCGTGAAAATACAAGAGGCAGGACGTAACGAAATATAGGGTCACACGCTTGTCCTTTTTCACTGTAATTAAACTTGTATTTGAAATAAACATTTGTAACAACTGGTATTTTCTTTTTTTGTCCTTCCCAGAAAATACAAGGATGTAATGCAATGTACTGTTATATCTGTGGCCAGAAATTTTGCTATTTATGCGGTGACCCTATATCCAGAAGAGACCCATACAGTCATTTCAAAGTGGAAGGCATTCTTTGCAATGGACGTCTTTTTGAGGGAGAAGATCTGGCTGTTCTTTTCCCACATGTTGCTGAAGTAAATGAACTAGAGCAGGAAGAAGGAATGTTTGATGATGTTGAGTTTTGATGCTGTTGTCAGTGACATGATGCTTCCGCTAACTGATGTGTTCCTAGCAGATCACCTAGGCTAACTTATGTGTTCCCAGCAGATCACCTAGGCTAAGTGATGTGTTCTCGTCAGATCACATGAGCTAATTAATGTGTTCCCAGCAGGTCACCTAGGTTAACTGATGTGTTCCTAGCAGGTCACCTGAGCTAATTGATGTGTTCCCAGCGGATCACCTAGGTTAACTGATGTGTTCCTAGCAGGTCACCTAGGTTAACTGATGTGTTCCTAGCAGGTCACCTGAGCTAATTGATGTGTTCCCAGCAGATCACCTAGGTTAACTGATGTGTTCCCAGCAAGTCACCTGAGCTAATTGATGTGTTCCCAGCGGATCACCTAGGTTAACTGATGTGTTCCTAGCAGGTCACCTTGGTTAACTGATGTGTTCCTAGCAGGTCACCTGAGCTAATTAATGTGTTCCCAGCAGATCACCTAGGTTAACTGATGTGTTCCTAGCAGGTCACCTAGGCTAACTGACTCTTTCACTGCCAGTATCGTGACAACTGGAAAGATCACTGGTAGAAGAGGCAGACCAAGAGAAATTATGGTGGATGGCTTAAGAGTGGCATGGAGGAATATCATCAGTGGAATTGATCCAGAACATTAAAGACCGAGATCTGTAGAAATGCATGATCGCCTACGCCAGCTGGCAAGGCACTTGATGATGATGACTGTTGTCAGTATTGTGTTAACTATCAGTTGATCTGTCTTATAAAGAGTTGATACTTTTAACAAATGTTTTGAATCTAAAGGTAGAAAATGGTGCAGCGGTGAGTGGCCGTCTGTCAATACTCAGGTTAAAGCCATGATGTAATTAAACTGCTACTGCTACCATCATAATTGGAACTGGCTGCTGAAGATAGGGACTGCATGTTTATGGAAATTTACCCGAGTGCTCTCTGATGTCGGTTCTAAACCCAAAGCAATCTGGAAAAGGCAAAATAATGAGCATACAAGACTACTTTTCGATTCAGTTGTTGTTCTGGGTGTTGAACTAATAGAGACATCCCCATAAGTGCTCCGCTTCATCCTCATCTTCAGCAGCCAGTGAAGAATTCCAATTCCGAGGATACCAGTAGCAGTGCGATTATACTGTCCATTTTGCATTTCCATTGAGTTTAGAGTATCAAGATCTCCCTGATTACTCCAGACCATAATGATCTGTTAAGTGCCTTCGAAAGAGTAAGTGGAGAAAGAATTAATGAAGAAAAGGGAGAAGAGTTCAAGCAGTGTGCAGCAGATTCATAGACATCTAAATGGTTGTTGTTTATCGAATTATTAATTTAATAAAAATATTGAGCAAGAAGAAAGCGCGGTAAATGACAAATGTGACTATTTTTCAGTCCTAGTAGTTGTTACTGTAAATCATCATAAAGTTAGTTGCATATCTTTTACAGAATGTTGTAGAACCAACCCCAGCATTGTCTGTTTTGGTTTTTCAAGGCAGTTTTACACTCAGTAGTTTGCCATCGCTTTTTTAATGGTCGAAATCAATGGAAGGCAGTCTGCTGCCAAATCACTCAAAACTGGAATTGAACCGGGTGCTTGAGAATTATGATGAAAATTTTGAGTCTGAAGGAGGTAAAATAAATAAGGAGGATATGAGAAGAAATAGACTTGAGAAATTTGATTGGGAAGAGGCAAAGAGATGAATACCTGGAAGGCTTATGTAGGATGAGCAGTGTACGAGTAAGATGGTACACATCTGCTTATCTGCAGGGCACATGAGTTAAGTTAAGAATTGACATCACAGCACTCAGGGCATTCCCATGCATGCTCCATCCTCATCTTCAGCAGCCAGCGCAGAGTTCCAATACTGCTGGTACCGGTCACAATCTGGTTATATGTCTGTCTTGCCTTTCCTCTGAGTGTAGTCAGCCGATCAGACCTTCTGGTTACACCCAGGTGCCTCATTCTCTCCATGCTGTAATAATCTTCTTTCTCTACTGATTCTGTTGCTTGTTCCCAAAGGGCCTTGACCACATCTGCCTTGTCATGTATGACAAGCAACCCGGCGATGCACATAATAATAGGAAAACTTCTGGTGAACTGTTTGTTTTGTGGTCACCTGGTTGGTTTTGAATATCATATTTATTACCGCTTGTAACATCCAGTTGGTTTGAAAATACATGAGAATAATTCATGCTTAATCTTTAACAGTAAATGAAAACACAGACAAAAATCCCGCATTAAACCTGCACTGTTTCGTAAGAATTAATTAGTTTTCTTCTGTGTTAAATATTTTGTGGTTGCCAGTCCCTTGCCTTACTAAGTTTAGTTATGTATATATAGTGTTGTAAAGGAGAGCTGTTTCATTTCATTTTTG